CCCCAACCCCCCCCGGGGGTTTTTTTTTTTTTTTTTTTCTTTGTCCCCCGGGTTGGGGGGGGGGCGGGCTGGGGGATTTTCTTGTTTTGTGGTTTTTCGGGCCTATGGGGGTATTTCTTTGACAATCCCCCCAGGGGGCGGCCGGCCAGGGGGGTGTTCCCCAAACCCCCCGAAATAGAAACCCCTTGGTGTAGACAAAACCCGGTTATACCCCCCCGGGGCCCCCTGGAGAAAACCTCCCCATTCCACCTTTTGGCATGTCCCCCCCCCCCCCCCCCCCGCCTGCCCCTACCCGCCCATAAAACGAAACAAACCGAACCATCATTCTGTGTTCTGACAGCGGGGGTCTAGCGGCGAAGACGATTCTGCCACGATCGCCACCTCTCGTCCGCGAAGACATACTGAGCCGAGGAAGCGCTGGGCGGACCAAATGATGAACCCGGGAGAGCAGTGGGCTCGAAAGGTGCGGTAATAAAGCGTTTGATTAATTAGGAAGGTAATTGACTATCATCGACTGCTGGGTTCAACTCGGTTGGCCAACGGGACGACGTCGGTCTTAGCAGCGGGACTGCTGTATAAGAAACGGAAGAGATTTTTTTTAGTGGGTGTACGTGCGCAATATCTTGTCTTTTTTTTTTTTAGAGTGTACGCTCACTCGTGATGTTTGGCGAGTGGTGGTTGTTGATACCGCAGCTGCTGTGGTTGTGCTGGGTGGTGTTCATTCTTGCTTTCACGGCGACGTTTTTTCGCGGTTTCCAAAAAAATAAATAAAATCCTCCCAACGTTCCAACAAGCTGTACTAAAAACACTCACATGATTTGGTAAATCGATTCGTGTGTGCGATGCAGAGAAAACTCGCGTACCTTTCACCCGTGTTTTTTCGTTGCACAAAGAACGCCACGTGCCCTCTGTAAACAATGTACCCTCTCTTTTCTTGTCTTGTCTTGTCTTGAATGCCGTTGCGGTGCCCCCCCCCCCCCCCCCCCCCCCCCCCCCCCCCCCC